AGCGCAAAATGACCCTTTGCCTGCCCCGCCCCCACTTTAGTTCCAAAAAGTACCCCCCCCCCGCCCCCACAAAAAAAAATAAAAAATCTGCATACAAAATCTTGGCTTTGGCAACTGTTGATGCAAGAGCTTTCAACCTATTGCCTCCTTACAGGCCATACAGCTCAATGTCGCTGAGACATTTAAGAGAAAAGATCAGAAGTGTACCAATCAGTTGAATCCTCTTGCCTTTCAAGTAAATATGATTCGTCTCCGGAGCAGAAAAAAGCATATGATTAGTCCGGTTGCCATTAGCTTAGCATAAAAAAATAACATGTTTTGAATGAGTTTTCAGAACACCTCAAAGCAGTGAGTAGTGGTCACCACCTACATCGTAAAACATTGACACTCTTTTGGGCGTTTTTTTTTGTTGCACAACAACTATCATCCAGCTGGGTTGCATTTATATTTTAGAAAAATGCTATGCTCACTACTTTCCTATTAATAATCGTGTTTTTGACCTTAAAGCACAGCGTGCATGTTGTTTAATTAAGCAAAAGAAGACATGCAAAATGATAACTGTTGTGCGACAAAGGTACGTTACAAGAAGTAAACTATTTTTAAAGTGTACCAAATGTTCATCATTCTAAGGATTATAAACTGTTTAAATTGTACCAAAGTTTGCAGCTACAACAACCATAGAGATTAATCATCTTGTGCTCCTCTCGTCAATGCATGTGCATGGTACTTTCAGGTCATCAGCAACATGTGCATTATCAGCACGACATAGAATGCTTGATTGAGAGTAGCCACGAAGCAATGCCTTTTCTAGAAAGATGCCTGCGACCTCGCACGCATTCCCATGGGGACAGCACGTTTCTCGTAGTTCAGTCCTCTCTCCACAAGAAGCGCTGGCAGCCGACACTCACTGGATTTGGATGCCATCGCAGACACACAACCGTGTTGCCTTGGAGACGGCAGTAGACATTGCTTTAATCTCAGAGGCTGCAAGGTTTCAAGTGGCTGCAACTGCAAATGCTCGCAGCCGACACTGTTTGGAGGAAGCGGTGGAGGAGAGAACAAGAGAGGGCCGGGAACCAGTTCTTTGACTCAAGTCGCAGGCACGTTTCTAGAGAAGGCGATGAAATAAGAGTATGGTATTCAAGGGAATACAAACAAGAATTGACTTTGGGGGCAAAATATGTGTTCAGGGATGTGAAGAATTTAGTATCCAAGTCTACACAGGCCACTAAGGTAGGCTGTTACAAATGTAGGGGTGTATGAGACTGTACTGTATGTGCAGGCAGTATTTGGACCGATTTCCAGGTACAAAAAGTGTGTTGGTGAACTGTTAATCTTGCTCTGAACTTTGCCAGAAGTAGGCGAGAAAAAATCTGCATTTTCAGCAGGAGATAATGTTTTCTACGAATTGATTGGCTTGTGTGGCCAAGGGATGTTACAGCCATTAGAATTGAAATTATAACAAGAGTTTAAGCCAGAGCTCATCATACTGCTCGTCGAAATTATTCCTGATAGCGATCAGTCACTTTTTTTTTCTTTGTTCTTCAATTGAAGTTGTTTTAGAACATTTCTGGCCACATAGTACGGAGCCAGCAACTTGAGTCGAAAATGCCAGGCCTGCGTGGAATGCACAGCACAGCTAGTCACAGCAAAAGCCGGAAGAGCGGCCTTTCAGAGCCTTTTTTAAACAATATTTGCATAACTACTACAAGCACACTTGCAGGGTACCCACTACACTATAAGTAATCCATTTTTAGTATAACCAGGAAGCATTCACTATGCCATCCTTCAGAGAAGTGTGGTACTACACACTTGAAAGGAATTTTCGTGAAACTTTTTGATGCTCTGACTGACGATGATGAAATATTATGCCAAGCGCTACAGTAATGGGTTGTATCATTCGACGACCCACTCGTTACGCAATTTGAACTATGCGATTCCTGGGTGTATTACACACATTAATGCGATTTGTTTCCCTACATGAAGCCTGCCTAGGGTCAGTTTCCAACGGAGTTCCAAGAACCGGCGTATTTCGGTGGTAGAATACTGGGCTGGCACACTGAGCACCTGTGTGCCTGTGCGATAGTGGCTACAGGCAGTGGTGGACAAATGCAGCGCACGCGACCCTTGTTGTGATCTCGTAACAGCTTTTGTTGTAAAAACCAGCTGCCCCAAACTTCTCGAGATCCTTGCTACTTAATTGTTATATCTTTGAACGTTGATATCTTAGAATATCTTGGAGCACTGAAAAAGATTTGTTTTTCTAAAAAAAACAATTAGTACAACCTTAGCAAAGTGTATAATAGTTTGTTCAATAAAACTGCAAGATAATTAAGTAGATATTAACACAATTACCATATCAATACAATAAAATACTTCAGCCATGCTTGTGTAATAACATTGCAAAGCCTATTTTACATCAACAAAGTAACACTTTTCTTCTAGTACGTGCACATGTACGTACTGAAGCCTTCTGTAGGTAGCCGAGGGTTACGACAGAGGACTGCGAAACCTGCGTACATTATGTGCCAACACTGCACAAATATATAGTTAAAGTATTTGTCAAATCATGTGTTCCTGCACTGTCTTTTGGCAACCCTGCAACTCATGAGCTGTGCTTTGACTATGAGTGCACCCTTGCACCACAGCATATGGCCATACTGAGGTGCAAATAGCAGAACTTAACTAAAAGTTCCTCTATGGTGAAATGCAAAGTTACCAAATTGCATTTTATTCTGAAAATTTTGCTAAACATGTTATAGGAATAAGGAAGAGTTAACATGTGGTTACGTGGAGAGGACACCAAGAAATAAGCAGTATGTACGATATATACTGAATGTTGTCGTTTTTGTGCATCTTCGTTGGAATGAAGCTAATTAACTGAACTTGCAACAAGTCTGGAAGTTTAATAATATCCCCTTCAACAGTGGTGGCTACGTTTGCATATGCAACTTGTTTTTGCAAGCTGTGTCATCTTGTGGTCAAAAGAGAAAAATACATTGCTCATAGAATAAACTGAACTTTCTCCATAGTCAATATGTCTCGACTTAACTTCAGTGCATTGCCTATGGCTGTAACTGATTACTTTAGAAGGTACTACAATGTTCGACCAGACCTTTAACATGCCACATTTTAGAACCAACGTCGAAAGTGTTATGTATTTTTCTTTTCTCGAAATGAATAGAACCAAAGACAAAGTGCACACACACTTTGGGCTTATATTTTCATACATTTTAAATGTCAAAATCAAACACAACAGACTATAGAATAATTGAATATTCAATTACACACGATTTACAATTAATAAAAACCTCACACCAAAAGTCTTATGCTCAATTTTCTTTATTGGAATGAAATATTGAGTGTCTTGGAATTACGCTATGTGAATTTGACACATTCATATACAGGGCATCACAATTTTTACCCAAAGGGGATATAAAGCAAACAGATGCATTGCAATAGTTGGGGGATTTGCACCTATTATGGCACATGCCCCATCTCTCTTGATAGCTACAAAACAAACAGTACAGTACACACATTCAACCAGAAACCATCGTTATATCAAGCCATATACTTATTTTTACATATACACACACGATCTTTTTTGCACATGAAATCACAGGGTCCACTTTAGAGACTTGCTGAGAGAACATTGCAAGACTGTACTACAATTTGCAAGTAATAGGAGTTGGCATTCAAGCAGTGTCCAACACTGCTAACCAGTCTTTATGAGCATGTTTAAAATGTATTCTTTTTTACTCATACATAACAAAGTTTGAGAGTGCTGATAAAAGGCCGTGCATTGAAGCTCTCTATACAAGTGAAATACTTAAACATTCGCACATGCTGTGTAAAAAAAATTGCAGTTTGCACTGTAGCATGTCTAATTTCATGTCTAGGTGCCTATACATATCACCTTCTGAGAGACAATATAATGCACATTGAAGTCCAAGTCTCACTGTTGGTCAAATGACGAAAAGAAACTCTCCGGGTGATTGGACAGTCATATTGTGTATATATGAAAAAGTGTTTACTTGAAGGTAAAATCACAGCAAGGGACCAAGCACACATGCAGTATAAAAGAGGAGGGTGGTTAAACACAAACAGGTATGCATGACATTCTGATTTCCACTTGCCTATAAACGAGCTAATTAGCTCTTGCATTCCAGAATGTCACTCTTTAAAATCCTTCTACAAAGAAAAGGCGGCAACGGAAGATGATGGTGAATAAAACCCAAGAGCTTTTTACCGGCTGGTGCGCCATTCACCCTGTGCATTATTATTCCCGGCAAAGTCAGCACATTCACCCATATTTGCATTACACATCAGTTTAACATAGTCTGGATATATATATATATATATATATATATGAGATCTAACAGACAGTAATGCCAAGAAATGTACAGGGGAAGTTATTAGAACCAATGGAATGTAAATAAGAAGAAAGAAAAGTGGATGAAAAAATAACCAGCCGTGAGCAGGAATCGAACCTACGACCTTCGAATAACGCGTTCGAAGCATTCGAACGTGTTATCCGAAGGTCGTAGGTTCGATTCCTGCTCACGGCTGGTTATTTTTTCATCCAATTTTCTTTCTTCTTATTTACATTCCATTGGTTCTAATAACTTCCCCTGTACATTCCTTGGCATTACTGTCTGTTAGATCTCATTAATATTGTGTTAAAACACAGAAAAACGAGCCCTTAGGTATACACTTCTTTCACTTACACACACACACACACACACACATTATATATATATATATATATATATATATATATATATATATATATATATATATATATAACTCGCTGTTATTTTTCATACTGCTAGAGATTGTTTTCACTGCAGAACCGTAGCCTACCAAGAGAGATTTTGTGGACTTGCCTTGCAGAGCCAGCCTACATGCCTCAAGTTTTGCAAATCGCCCTCATCTGCAATGCATGAAATATCGAACATAGCTTGATAGCGTAATATTTGATTTCAGCTAACTCCGGAGGGCACACATAAAAGTGTTTTGAAAGACTATTGCCACAAGTAAATGACAGTGCCTTCAAATAGATTGCTAATAATGTACATACTGTCTTATGCATTCACATTCTGTGCTTTTGGGATGAAAGTACGTAATAACACTGAACAGCCCTCGCTCAGAAGGCTAGGCCACTTATCACTGGAACCATATAGAAAGAAAGCCCTGTTTAGGGTAGCCTTCTTCAGGACAGTGACTGTTGCTGCACATCAAACTGCACACTTACTCCTGTGGTCTAACCACAACTTCAGGTGACAATCTGGTATTCAAAGGGGCCTGTCGATGATTGTCACTCCAGCATAGCTACGACCGATGGTCATGAATGTGCTCAGGATGTTCCAGGCTTTGGTCTTTGGGTTGTAGACTTCTACAGAAGAAAGGTTGGATGATCCATCATCACCACCCACAACATAGAGCAGACCATCCATTGCCACGACACCTAGCAGAGAAAGTAAAGTTTAGAATCAAAACACAGCAATGTGCAAAAAACAAATTGTACTTCTTGGAATAGATGCCCAATTATTCGTCTAGGTCAATGTTCAGACAGCCCACACCACAAGTAGCTAGTACTAGTACAAGGGCAAATACTATAGTTCCTTGCAAATAAGCCGCACCGAAAAATGGAAAAATATGAATAAAAAGTGGGAGTGCGGCTCATATGCATTGTTTTTTCTTGTAAAGAAGATAGATGTGCTGATTCACAAGAGAAGGTTATGTGAGACAAAATGCAGGACATAAAATTGGCCTAACATATCGCGAGATGGTTTGGAAATACAGAGAGAGGACCAAGCGCGACGAAGTTCTTGGAATAAGAACTATATAAATAATGATTCCAAGTTGATACAATGTCGCATGCTGTGATGAAAAAGCACCATATGTGCTTTTCAGGAAAGTGCAGGCCTGAAAGCTTTTCTTGCGCCTGGCAAAAAAAGCGCCCTACAACACTTTTTTAGCATGGTCAGAAAACGCTGCCAATCGGTAGCAGAGGCTCCCGGGAACATGCGAGCCAAATATTATAGCGCAGCACGTGGCCTGGGATTCACAATAAATTACCAAAGTCAGCTAAAACTTGCTTTCTATTCTCTCGAGAAATGACGGAAGACGCTCGACAATCGCCCGTAGAAGGCAGGCCATCTATCAGCCATACACTGATTTGAACATGGCGCGCTAGGTCGTAACAGCGATCGCCGCGACTTGTTCACGTGTGCGCCCGATCACACGGAAAAAGCAGTGTATTCGAAAAAAAAAAAAGAAAGAAAAAGTGCTCAAGGTTCAAGGTCACGAGGCGCTGGACATATTTTCTTTGCCCCTGCTATTTTTCCCTGCTTAGCCTCCAGCGCATTTGCCGGGATGAGAGAAGAGAGAACGCGATTGCAGCGTGCGACAATTCTTTGTAATTTCACTAATACTGGACAGATTCTTAAAATTTTTGCGGTGTTGAATTCGTGAGGCAATAAGCTTTTTTTAGTGAATCCATTTTATGGTAACTTGAAAGTGTTTTGGGGCCCCTTTAATATTATTCAGAGCTCAATGCAACAACACACCAAGTGGTAAACCTGGTGCATGTGCATCACAGTCCAAAGGGCAATTTTTGGAAGAAGCTGTTAATTGAGCAAACAAACTTTACTAGTAAATAAACTTCTTTATAAGCAACTTCATCACAAGTGACTTCACCACAACTGTGCTATCAATATCTCCATATTAGCCAGCAGTAAAAACTACAATTACTATTGTGAAGAGGCTTCACTGACCTGCATTTCGCCTGGCCAGGGCCATGTCTGGCACATGGGACCAGGAATTAGTGTCAGGATGGTAACACTCAACGCTTTTGCGCACCAAGGGTCCATCATGTCCTCCCACAGCATAAAGCACTCCTTCCAGGACTCCAACACCAGCGCCACTGCGCCTTGCAGACATATCAGCTACAAGGGACCACTCCTCTTCTTTTGGGTCATAACGCTCAACTGAACTTAAGCATTGTCGTGATGCACCATCATATCCACCAACAGCATAGAGGAGGCCTATTATGAAACAAAGAAAATAAAAGCAGAAACAGGGCGATTCCACGTGATTGAACAAAGCATGGCTGGTCAACCTCTTAAATTTCTTTCATAATTTTGTATATTGTTGCCTGATGAGTGGAAATTAGAGCTCTGCAATTGGTTTTACTGTAAAAGAAGTTTTAGAAGCATAGCAAATCAATAACACTGAAGATGTGGAGTGCCACGCTTACCTGCTCTGCTGTTTTTTTTTTTCGATTTTGGCGATTCTTTACACAAAATATATTAAAGCTACGTACCTCAAACTTCTTGAGCTAAATATAGATGTACTTGCACTTACTTTCAATTATATTTCGAATCTCTGAGTAGTGTAGATGTTTCTACAAAAATTTTCAAATTTGACCTAAAAAATGCTTTTTTTGCATAGTTTGCAGGCCTTCATTTCAAAAAGGGCCCATGACGGAGCGATAAAAATTCTGCATTACTTTTTAAGCATGCTTATTCATGAAACTGCAAAAGCTTATATTATTAACACTTTTCAATCAAAAGATATAATTGCACCAACTTCAAGAAAAGAGCATGCAAGGGAACTTTTGACAACAATTAAATAAAAACAATTTTTGATAATTTTTATACCTCCCTCACTTATTCTCCTGCACATCAGCTTTTACAATCAATAAAAACATGTTGCAATATATGGTTTCACTAGCAGTTCAGCCAGTCAAAAAATGCCCTTGCGCAAGGTTAGGCATAGGTAGATCGAACTTCGTGACCGGTATGTATGGAATGCAGGCCTATACTTCAGTTTCTTAAAAGGCAAGCAGCACTGAAATAGCTATCGACTGCACTCAGGATGCCAATTTTAAAATGACTTGGTCACGGTGTCACAAAACGAGCCCTCAAAAAAGGGCGCGCCGCCAAATTCTCGCGACAAAGCGCCGAGAGGTAAACGATAAAAAAAAAAGAAAACAAGCATCAAGGGACTCCCCGGGCGCGCGTCCCTCTCCCCTCGGAAGCGTAGGTTCGCCGACGAACCTCCTCTCATCGGCGCCCGAGCAAGCCCTAGAGAGTTCTCGATGGAAAGGGGCGTGGTGATGCAGGGTTGCGTCATCCATCGCGGACGACCTTCGTACCGTCTCGCCCTCTCCCCAGCCTTCGCTGCGTACCGCGCCGACGAAATGATGAGAACTTTCTGGAATCTCGCGCGGAAGGTATTTAATCGAGCAGTCGAGATGGGAGAGCAGGAGAAGAAGGAAGTTAGCGCCAGTGTGCGTGGGGTATTCCGCCGCGTCTGTCGGTAAAGGTTTTGCCCTTAGTGACAAAGCAGGAGAAGAAGAAAGTATGCGCCAGAGTGTGTAGGGTGTTCCGCCTTGTGGGCGAAGCCTTTTGTCTTCCGTGACAAAGGAGGAAGAGAAGAGGATTTCCACCTGAGGGCTGAAGACTCGAGCTACAGGCAAGAGTGTGTGTCTACCTCTATTGAGCGAAGACGCGTGGCAACAGCTGCGTGTGAAAAGCCGACGTGTTTCTGGCGAAGAAGTTTGAAGCTTGGAGAGCGGCCAAGTGAAGACGCGAAGTTTCCTGGAAGAGAAACTTCGGGGGCAGCGGAACGACAACAACGCTGGACTTTGAGTGAGTGATTCTCGGAAGAGTATCATTCAGAGTTTTGTTCCAAGAACTTTGGACTGAATAAGTTTTCTAATTCTTTAGTCTTTAAGTGTCTCGGTAGTTCGATGCATGCGACTGCATTGTAGTGCGTATTGCTGTCTGTGTCCGTTGTTTCGAGGGTGGCTGATTGTACTGTGTAGTACATTGTTTGATTGGTGACATATTGTATTCAACTATTGTCGAGTGTGCATACTTGTGTATCGTTTTGATCTGCCATAATTGAGAATATAATTTTGTTTGTTTATCAACTCTCGGCTCTGACTTGTTCTTTGGGCCACAGTCGGCGTCCGCTGGCGCGCCAAATAGGACCACTTCTAAATTGTCCACGCTTTCGTGGTGTGGTTCGGGGGGCCGATACTTCGGCCCTTGGAATTAGCCCGGCGATCGCCTCCCAAATTAACGGGACCTGTGACAATTATTCTGGCGTCCGCGACAAAAACCTTTTGGTGCACAGTGTGTCCAAAGTAGTGAGAAAGAGCCTCGAGTTGTTGATAGTGCTATCGGAACGATTTTGTGTGTTGCTCAGTGTCACAAAACGAGCGCTCAAGAAAGGGCGCGCCGCCAAATTCTCGCGACGAAGCGCCGAGAAGTCAACGATAAAAAAAAAAAAACAAGCATGCAAAGACTCCCCGGGCGCGCGTCATTTTCCCCTCGGAAGCGTGGGTTCGCCGACGAATTTCCTCTCATCGGCGCCCGAGCAAGCCCTGGAATGTTCTAGATGGAAAGGGGCGGGGTGATGCAGGGTTGCGTCATCCGCTGCGGACGACCTTCGAACCGTCTCGCCCTCTCCCCAGCCTTCGCTGCGTATCGCGCCGACGAAATGATGAGAACCTTCTGGAATCTCGCGCGGAAGGTATTTAATCGAGCAGCTGAGATGAGAGATCAGCAGAAGAAGGAAGTTAATGCCAGAGTGCGTAGGGTATCCCGCTGCGTCTGTCGGTGAAGGTTTTGTCCTTAGTGACAAAGCAGGAGAAGAAGAAAGTATGTGCCAGAGTGCGTAGGGTGTTCCGCCTTGTGGGCGAAGCCTTTTGTCTTCCGTGACAAAGGAGGAGAAGAAGAGGATTTCCACCTGAGGGGTGAAGAGTCGAGCTACAGGCAAGAGTGTGTGTCCACCGCTATCGAGCGAAGACGCGTGGCAACAGCTGCGTGTGGGAAGCCGACGTGTTTCCGGCGAAGAAGTTTGAAGCTTGGAGAGCCATTTCCGATGGAGGCGGAAATGTTGTAGGCCCGTGTACTCAGATTTGGGTGTACGTTAAAGAACCCCAGGTGGTCAAAATTTCCGGAGCCCTCCACTACGGCGTCTCTCATAATCATATGGTGGTTTTGGGACGTTAAACCCCACAAATCGAAGCTTGGAGAGCGGCCAAGTGAAGACGCGAGGTTTCCTGGAAGAGAAACTTTGGGGGCACGGAACGACAACAACGCTGGACTTTGAGTGAGTGATTCTCGGAAGAGTATCATTCAGACTTTTGTTCCAAGAACTTTGGACTGAATAGGTTTTCTAACTCTTTAGTCTTTAAGTGTCTTGGTTGTTAGATGCATGCGACTGCATTGTAGGGCGTATTGTTGTCTATGTCCGTTTTTTCGAGGGTGGCTTGATTGATCGATTTGTGGGGTTTAACGTCCCAAAACCACCATATGATTATGAAAGACGCCGTAGTGGAGGGCTCCGGAAATTTCGACCACCTGGGGTTCTTTAACGTGCACCCAAATCTGAGCACACGGGCATACAACATTTCCGCCTCCATTGGAAATGCAGCCGCCGCAGCCGGGAATCGAACCCGCGACCTGCGGGTCAGCAGCCGAGTACCTTAGCCACTAGACCACCGCAGCGGGGCTTTCGAGGGTGGCTGATTGTACTGTGTAGTACATTGTTTGATTGGTGACATATTGTATTTAAGTACTGTCGAATGTGCATACTTGTGTATCGTTTTGATCTGCCATAATTGAGAATATAATTTTGTTTGTTTAGCAACTCTCAGCTCTGACTTGTTCTTTGGGCCACAGTCGGCGTCCGCTGGCGCGCCAAATGGGACCACTTCTAAATTGTCCACGCTTTCGTGGTGCGTTTCGGGGGGCCGATACTTCGGCCCTTAGAATTAGCCCGGCGATCACCTCCCAAATTAACGGGACCTGTGACCCACGGAAGCAGCCCAACAAAAGTCCACGTAAGTATTACTAAGTACACCACATTCGTAACAATTCAGGAGTGTCTGAAGCTTCAAAATAAAATTTTGGGGAACGAAAACCAGATCTACTTTATTACTATCAACAAAATCAACATCACTTAATTAGTCGAAAGATTGTAGTACAGTCCAAGCCCTCATGAAAGATGGCCACCAGAGAGCAGTTCTTGTCCCTTATATGCAGGGGTCTCTTATAAGCAGGGTACCATGTTTCGATTTTCCAATAAACTCTTATTTTTACATGAGCCCACTGCAACTAGAATAGGCAGAAAAGAAAAAAAAAACTATAGCCTTTTGCAATATGTCTAATACTCCATACCATTTATTTTATGAGAAGAGTGGCTTGTTGGGCGATTCGGTTCAGCATCATAGTAGAATTTATCACAAAAAACAGGGATCAGGAAACAAAACGCATGTTTTTTCAAGCACTCTACTTGGCTAGTGCCTCGCTTCTTTGGAAGTTCGTACAACGGCTTGCTCACACCATCCAAAGCGCAGCTGCTTGCTTTGCTCACATTTGCCAGGTAGATTTGTCTTGATCGAACACAGTGTAAGAGGCAGTGTATCCAGTGCTCTTAAGTCCTAAAGGAATACTGAACAAAATTTTTGCCGCCAAGATTTCCAGCCAATTTGAAAGATTGGGTTACCTCCATTCCAGCCAGAAACTATAAGAAAATAATAAATTGAATGGGTTTTTCATAAAATACTCCGTCTAGCGGCCGCTCAGTGAATTAGAGGAGCCAACGTCACATACATTTAAAATGGGCGAGTCAACAATACTAGCTGTCGCGTGCGTCTTTCGACCCGCGCAGTAACCCCATCAGTTCCGATAGCGAACAATGCTCCCAGTTGGGGTAAACCATCAGCGCTTTTGAAGAAGGAGAAGAGTGTGATGGAAGGAGAAGTAGAGAAAACAAGAGGAGGACAGGAACATGTGCATCATGCATACACCTCGGAACTTGCGACACCACACAGTCCACGCTCGCGTGCACCCGTCGCGCACTGACAATCTATCAAAAATACAGCCACCAGTTCAAAAATACGGGAAAATAACTCTGCTTATTGGAACAGTCGCATAGAGTTGAATTTTAAAGTTTTGTCAGTTTTTCCAATTTTTGTTCAGTATTCCTTTAAGGACACTACGCATGAAATATTTCACGATTAGGAATAGCACTAACAAAATGGGTACACCTTTCAGCTCCCAGTTATTTTTGGCTAGACACATGCCCACATGTGCAGTTGAATTTGCACATTTGAAAAGGTTCAAGTACAACTCCACAATGCATTCCCATTACAGGAACTTCTATTGTTCTTACAGCTGACTGAGCTACTCTGTATTTGTTTATGTTATAGCAAAGAGTGAGGGCACTTTTCTGTAGCTTCCTTTTGTTTCCACAATGAATGCAACAACAGTTAGCAGCCAACTGTCATGCAATTAAAAGTAAAAAAAATGTCCATTATAATCAATATGGTTAACCACAATGAAAAAATAAGTACTTTTTTACAATAGGTTGTCTTTTACATTCAGTGTTTGTTATAAAAAGAAATGCAATCAATGAGACAGAGGCAAACCACGCAAATGAGTGGGGTATGTTATACCTGACAGTGCCTCTTACAAAGGGTTCCAACTGTACTACTTACAGTAACACTTGTAACTTTCATTCTAATCTGGCATAAAAAATAACTAGCCCACTTTGTCAACTAATAAAGAAATCGATCAACTCTGGGTAGAGAAAGAGAGCCGTCTTTGTGAAGGAACTATCTACAAAATCAAACTTCAGCACCCCTATTATTTTTCTGCCTTGTGGGCCTCACACAGGAGTATTAAAAAGGGCACTACAGCTGCACTTCTGGTAGTTCCTAGACTATGTGAATTAATTTACAGTTTGTTCCATAATGGTAGCCAGAAAGCAAGGTTTTGGAACAGATCCAGCCTTTGCCAGACACAAAACAGTTCCACAGAATGTAGCCAAATTTATTAGGTGGCCAATAAAGTCAGCACACTAAGGCACACCTAGAAACTGTATTTCAAGTGAATGCTTTTCTTCGTGAAACAACACGATAACTTTTCTCATGCAAGGCAATGTTGGTTTCACTATAGAGCTACCAGCAGCATATTTGGCATGCGGTTCAGAGAAAATAGATACAAAATCTTTATGTATCATCACACTCTTGGTTTGGTAAAGAGCTATAGGCTGTAGTTTACGGCACGCAGATCCTGGAAGCCTTGACTGTATACAGTACTTCAAACAGTACTTCAAAGCAATGTCTACCATGGAGTTTGTGTTGGTATCACATTCGAGGCTGCGTCCTGCCTTTACTTGTGTACTTTTGTATCTTTACACATATAAGAAGGAAAATCTAGGCTCTTGCCATGCATATTTGACAGTCACTTTGTTACTGTGAGAAATAGAAATAGGTTCCATCAGACTTCCATTCTGTATGGTGTCATTTATCAATAAAAACATAAAAACATTACTGAAAGCTCTTAGCTGGTCCTTCCTGTGATGAACAGGCACTTCATAGCATGTAAAAGCTGAGCTTGCCTTTTGTAACAAAAATAGAAACTAAGTCGATAAGCACAGCTCAGCCACAGAGCAAAGAGTCATGTTAAACTATAATCTTGTGTATCATATACAAACAGCTGCAGTTCTAAAACAGCATAAAAATAGAATTTCTGTGCAGTCAACATAAATACTATGTCAACTGTATCTCCGGATTCTCCTTAACTTTTTGACTAAAATACACAACACTTATTGACAGCTGACAAGTGCTCTTACGAACCGTATTTAATGTAAAGACTTCAATGAGGAACTAAATATAGAACTCAAGAATAAACTTGTTCAATAGTAACTAATCAACACTGACCATTCAAAACACCCACTCCCACACTACTTCGACGAGTGCTCATAGCTGCAATTGCTGACCATTCTTCTGTATGCGGGTCATATCGTTCAGCACTGTTCAGTCCCGTGGAACCATCAAAGCCACCAACAGCGTAGATCTGGTTGTTCAGAACTGCCACACCTAATGTACTTCTTCGAGCGTCCATACTAGGTGCCTGGCTCCACTGCAAGTACAAGGTTAATGTAATTAACATAAAATAAAGAAAACAGATACTTCACTAAGCAATGCATGTGACTTGTCCAATCAAGGCATGATGTGCCCTTACAATAAACCCCTTGTGTTATGAGGTTATCCAACACGCTCAAATGGAATAAAATACGGCTTGGCACCACCGCAATTACAGCACCACCTGGGTCACCTGCCTCAATTTCTGGTGCAGTGCATTAAAACTTCTCAATTTCAATTCAGTGGACAGTCATTAAATGAAACCTGAAAGAACCAGGAAATTGTGTTCCATTTAACAGGAGCTTCATTAACTGAGAAGAACAGGGGTGCAGAATACAAGAACAAAAGAAAACATATCAGAGACAGTTGTTCAATTTAAGCAGAAGTTCCGTTTAGCAGATTTCAGTTAACTGAGAATCTACTGTACATATGGGTACCTCTACAATATAGTTCTTCAGTGCACATGTGCACTCTATAATCACATTGAAAAAACCTTTTTTTCAACTTACAACACATGACAGCAATACACTACCTTTGTAGCACCTAGCAACACTATAAAAAAAAGGACTTCTCACACAACAGGAAGAGCAGAAGCCACTCACTAACGCTTTCACCTGCATCATGTCATATGCATCATGCCTTTCTGGTGCACCGATAAACGTGTTTGGGCACTGGAGCCATAAGCAGTGCTTACACGAATGTGAAAGAGAAGTTTTGCTTAATTTCTGCTTTTTTCAGGCAGCACCTTGCAGCTTCCTCAGCCAACAGCAGAGGCAGACATGCCTCCAAATCGTATTTACCTATGTTCATTGACCCACACCTTACTGACTCATTGGCATCTAGTTGGTGTTAAGTCATCAGTGTTATCACATACTGCACTTAAGGGGTTTATTAAAATAGTGATGCAGTGAATATTCAGGCATTTGGAGCACTCTGCATCAACAAGACATCATGAGTACTGATGCTGTGGTGCCAACAAATAAGTTGAAATCAAACTGCGTTTATGGCCGGATGTTGTCCCTTATGCCAGGCAGCATCAAAGCAAACAGTTGCTCTCAATACTAATGACAAAACATATATAAATATCTTATGCTCAGCATGGGATAGGACTAAGTGATTGCCGATTTCACCATTTACCCATTATTTAGAGTTATTTCTAGGTGTCACAGTCGTGAGCATGTAACAAGCTCGAATTCAACGTGAAGTTGCTGGTCTGGGCTACATAGATGATGATATATACTGATACATGATCACCATTGCTGGCACTGACCACAACAATATTTCATGGAGTACAATATGCGTGTCCAGAGCACTCAACACATCACATAAAATTCAAATGCATCATGTACAAAGTAAAAATAAAGATTTCTAATACCATAAATACCCAGACATATTCCGATGTACAAGGATATTGCTTGTGTATACCTTCTACCTTCCCTACTTCTGCAAGCTATGGGTGAGATAAAAGTGTAGTCAGTCTCTGCCTGTGTCTTTGCATTTCAACACTGTTGCTGTACCATTCGTTTTCCCGTAGCCAAATAGTACCTTACCACTAATTACTTTCTGATAATTACTTTACTTTTTGCTAATTACTTTACTGCTAATTACTGCTAAATAATTACTTTCTTTCAGCACAGATGGTGAAGGGTGTTTGCAAATGGCGCAGAATGTATTGAAAGGGGCAATTCAAATCAATGATAGCAGGCTATTGATGCCTGATGGGCACGGTAGGGATAAGGTTAAATCTAAGTACATGGGTATATTCAGCATTTCCCACCCACTGAAATGTGCCCACTGTTGCTGGGAATTCAACGTGCATCTTTGTACTAACATTGCAATGCCACAGTTTCTAAGCCACTGTGGTAGCTTTAGTACTAATTAGAAAAGTTTGCAATGAATTTTTAGAACTCCATCTGTATGTGGTATGTGCATGCATGAATGCACATATAGTATTTGTGTTTTCATCTGATATCCTGAGCAGGCAAAATGTCTTTCAAGACAACTGGCAAAAGTGCTACACTGGCCTGAATGCTCTTCTCACGGTAACTTTGTTAGCACCCTTTGGTGACATGCTATGGTTGAAGAAGACCCCACCTGATCTCTTGCAGGGTCATAGATCTCGACCGTGCGCACACGTAGTGAGCCATTAAAACCACCAACTGTGAACACACGTCCATCGAGAAGAGCTAGGCCTGCACGGCATCGACGGCTGGGGAGCTCAGCCAGCTGCAGCCAGCGTTCACGTTGCAAGTCTAGGCATTCCACACTGCGAATGGCCTTCGGAGCCTGGCCACCCACCACAAGCAGCATCTGCACACAATACCCAGAAGGGAAAATATTGTGGAGAGCATTTCGTACGAACACACGGAGAATTAACAACAGTGTTTAACATGTATACAAATGGAAAGCTGCTGCAGGTAAAGCACATGAAAATTATACAATGATTCCTTGAGCTTTAATGATGAAGCGACCGTGTTTAACTTTTTTAAGGTAAAGTCATTTAGTGTAGGTCACAATGAAGCCCACCAGCAATGCTAACATGCAGCAATAAGCTTCAAATCTTGCAGTAATCCTAGTACACTCCAAAAAAGTGCATTTAGCAGTGCTTACACGAATGAGTTTCCAATTAATTGATATTAGGACTTAACGCACCAGTCGTGAAGGTTCATACCTAAAAGCACATCTGACGCACTCAGTGACTTGTGCAACCAAAACAACATTTTGTAACAACGAAAATTGATGAGACAATGGAGTGTATCAGACTAGAATTTTTACGCACCACGCAGCAGCTAAGCAAAGCAGGAATGCATATGCACTCTCCGCTTAGCCGAAGCAGCCTAAGTGAAGTGTCGCTGCCGTTTTCACTAGTGAGGGTGGGGTTGATGCGCGGTTCAGCTCAGTGGGCTAACTTAAAGATGAGTGGGCTACAAAAACACGGAACTAAAATACCCTAATGTTTGAAACAGAAGCAAGTTCAACGTTGACACCAGGTAGCAAAAGGTGGGTAAAAGTTGCATACTTAGTATGTGTTGTTATTATGGCTAATACTTCTACAACCTGCTTTCTGAACAAAGAACACATCATATCATATGCTCATTATACCAAAACTTATCATCACATTCTGTGAATATACTTCTGTCAAACAATAATACAAACCAACACTACCTGAAGTACTACACTGAATCCTCATAAAAAAGTTACATCTTACCCAAAAATAAGTTCTTTCTATCTGAAAAACCATTATAAAAGTACATTCTTAACACTATATCTATTGCAAGACTATTTTTCATTTACTCCATTATAACCAACATTTCGTTATATCTGGTTTCTTGATATCAAGGCACTTAACTAAGTGTACAGCAAAACCTTTTTAATTTGAATTTCACACAACTGAAAACACAATGTTGAGTTATCAAGGTATGAAGAAAAGAAACAAATGCCTCCTACATCAACACATTTTTAACATGATAGTGCTAAATAGCTCGTTTCAGTGTCTGTGTCAACATGGGCATCGCTGGTTGTGAGCGAAAAATCATGTCCACGACCGAAAAACTGAGAAAAATGCAAATAGAATAAATAATAAAAATTTACGGGTTCGAGTGGTGCTCGAACGCAGCCCGTTTGCGTCGTAGAGTTTCCTAAAATTAACTAGAGGGGACTCTGGCACTGTGATCGTTGAGCGACCATGGAAATTATGGGTAGTACACGGATTTGCCTTCGTACTTGTGGGCTTCGAACACACTTGTGGCTTAGTTTATTGCAGTCTTTTGGTTTTGTTTTGAATGAAAGAATGAATCGTTTTGAGCTTCATAAACCGATTTGAATCGGCGAGCCTAAACCGTTAAGGTGGTGAGGTGCAACTGCAGAACATTTGCTGATATTTGTTTTATGACAAAACAACTGCAGCCCATGTGAAGCCAAACAAAGCCGAAAGTATAAAAATTAAGCATATCTGCGTACTACCCATCATTCTGATGCTCGCTGAAGCGCTGTGGGTCGCAGCTCCCATAGACACTAGCGCTAAAATTCCCTCTAGTGTATTTATAGAAAACTCTCTGGTTTGTGTGGCAAGCAGGTATTCTACTACACAGCCATGTGTCCACTTGAAAATACATTGAAAATAACCTTCTCTGCTAGGAAATGGAGTGAAAATAATGTTCATGCTTTACAAACACACATCCTGCATACAGGCTTCACAATACAATGCGTAATATCACAGTAACATTGTGTGGTACAAGCGTACATTGTCATCGGGCGTATCAACATGCAATTATCATAACGACTTCTTGGTTTAAAGCTGGCAACACCTTAGAAAAAGCCCACACGTTATTGCACTTATTAGTACCTTAAGACATCGTAGTGAGTGCATAGCAAGGGTGAAAACATTTTACACGCACAACTGTTTGTGGTTCAAAGCATGATACCTATTACATAGAATGCAGCCATATTCAAAATCTTCACCAACACATGCCACTTTCAATATTATCAATTACATTGTTGCAATTCACAATTTAAACTCGTCAAGTAGCATCATACAACAAAAAGTATGCACTAAGTACGCACTACGCACAGGATATCACGATCGGGTTCAACTTTAAAGGTGAAGCTTAAGAGTCCCCTAATTTTTATTCACAGATGAAATCTGCAAATACTGTTCTTATTTTGCAAAAAAGCAGCATGCAAGATGCACTTTTTGTGATGTTGAGAATTTTTTTTTTTTTGCTATATGGTCGAGGATGTAGATATGTCCAAGAAGTGCTAGCTAAAGGCACCTTAGGCTAAAAACTCCTCCTCATGGCTTTTTCGCCATAAGGAGGTTTATTCATTATTCATTTCACCCCCACCCAGCCCTCTCTGTTTGCTAGTACTACACCTTGCACGTGCACACTATTCTATTATTTTTTTTTGACAGAGAGATGGCCTGCAACAGATTGTTCATCTTTGACAATGTAGCCAGTGAGTGACACTAGAATGCAGACTGTGGCTTAAACTGCTTTTCATCAACAGCTTCTGCCATGTTTGTGACGCTGCACCAATTGCACTAAATAAAAATAAAACAACTCCCCACTGCATCTACTGTGGACAAAGCCTTGGTCACTAGTGTTGTAATCCCAGATAACATCCATGCATTTCTCCCGACATGCCTGTGGCCTACATGTATTAAACCAAGACAAAGCCATTGTTAGTTGCAACAGCTGCAGATGAAACATAGATTGCTAACACGAGTATCATAGAAGACAATTATGCGGCTGTTAATGCCTATGCGTGTGGCCTATGCACGCAAATTGACTGCTGGTTGCCACGACCATGCAGGTGTATCCTAGGTTGCTAATAGTGCAATCACGAATAGCAACCATACAGTTCCGCCAACCAAGGTGCAAACGGACACAAAGCTTTCTTCCTTCTAAATGGTTTCCCCTGATGTGTACGGCAATTCAGACTGTGCCATTTCAGTAGGTATGCATTTGGGCTAGTTGGTTCATGATTTCCAGTAAAAAACAGTGCTGAAAGATGAGATGAGGGAAGGAAACAAACCATGGCACTGGTTTATGCCATCTCATTTAGGATGGATGATAAGAGCTGTTTTTGCCCCCTTTTTATTGTTCGCTTACAGCACTTCATAATTGAGGCACACCTGGGATCATATGCATCAACGAGGTTGTGACCAAATTTATTCGAATGAATACAGGACTACAGGATCAATTTCTATTGCAGCGAAAGCTGTTATGAGATCATAACAAAGGTAGTTTCTGGTGCCACAGTTGTCCACCACCACCACTTTTGCCAGTGTTTGTAACCACTATTGCTTAAAATAAGCAAAAAAAACAACTTTGGTAAATAAGAAGCACCAAGGACACAATGGGATTTGAACTAGAGTCCCTTGCCCACCAGCCGAGCATTCTACCACTGAACTACGCCGGTGTTTGGAATTCCATTGCAAACTGACCCTAGGCAGGCTTCATGTCCGAAAAGGAATTGAATTAATATGAACAACAAAGCATTTTAGAACCGAAAAGAAAGCACCCGGTATTACACAATGCATATTGCATATTGAGTGAGTATTTGAATGTTCCAACTCCATTACAAAAGATTCAGGTGTAATTCTTCATAATCGTCAGCAAAAAAGAAAAAAAAAAACTTTTTGCCAGTGTGTAGCAGGTATGACACTTCTCTGATGAAGAAGGATGGCTTAGTGTAGATGTGAGCCATTATACGCATAGGCAATCACCATCATAAATGCCTCTCTACAACACAAAAATTATGATTTATGGCGTAGTGGATACCCTGCAAGTGTCCTTATAGCAATTGCCAAAGAATGCTCTAGAAAAGCTGCTCTTCCAACTTTCGCTGTGGCTGTGCTTCCTGTTTCGCGTTGGCCTGAAAGTTCTCTTTTAATTGAATTTTTCAAATTATCAAGGGTCAAATTAACAAGGCTTTACCATAAAATGGGGTAAAGATTCTTCTGGACCATAATAAATGTTACTATCTATCTACTGTAAAAGGTCAATTAAGTTTCCTGTTTCAAAGCACATGTGAATTTCTTACCAAAAACCTAGAAAAACAACTCCCTTGGTGAAAGCACATTTGTTTATAAGGCCATACTGAAAGATGGCAGCATAGTGAGGAAAGTCAAGAGCGTTCTAAGGACATCTTTTTTAAAGACTAAAATTGATGCAAGAAAAAAAAAAGAACTTTAATACTCCTTGACTCATGATTAGGCATAAACAGGTGAGAATGCACAAAGCTCTTTGGAATACTTAAAATGTACCAGTCATTATAATATTTCATATCTACAATAATAAGACAAGCATTGTCAATACTATCACATTAAAAACAAAGTTAACATAAACAGAGACCACCTCATTTAAGTTTCCCTAGTTTCTTGATTACACCTCATCCATTTGGCTATTCGTTTGCCCTCTATATGAACAACTCTACCGAAAATTTATCAACGATTACATGTGAATGCTAGCCAAATATTTTATTCGATTCCTTTCTTTGAAAATTAGGTCAAAGTGCAAGCGCATTCAATATGCAAATAAACTTAGTAGCAATATTTTTGAAAAAGAAAAAACTCAAAAGTGAAGGGGTAATGACAAATAAATTTATGTAACTTGGCTTAAGACACTCAGTAAACGAAACTCTTGTTAACAAAACTGGTACTTACATAGAACAACTGTCTTTAATATGATTGGTACTGTATTCTAATTCTGTAACCCTTTTTTATAGCTTGCAGGATACTTGAGCTTTGCGATCAAAAGTAGATCTCGCGGGCCCCACACACATTGCCTTTTCAATTGCTAGCCTCA